CCTGACAGCGTGTTTCACATAGGGGTTATTCACAAAGCTGCAGTAGCCAGCCGAGTGAATAACCGACCCGAGGTGAAGTGAGCCAAACGCTGTTCGGCTATTCACTTCAGGCTAGTACGGCTGAAATCAGCCGTACATCGGGTGGCTTTGGGTCGGCCGAGCTTGCTCAGCCGACCCGAAGTGCAGAAGGAGTTCGACTCAGCCGATCCAACATCTGGATCGGCTGAGCCGAATGTCCGGCAGGCCACTCGCTGCTGTTCGGCCTATTCTCATAGATGCCGAACAGCAGTAAGTGAATAGCTGAATGCCACTGAGCTGCATTCGGCTCGGCTATTCTGCTTGCTACCTCTGGTGGTACCAAGCAGAATAGAAAAACAGTCAAAAAAAGAAAGAAAACAATCGAGCGGAGCTAGCAAATGGGCGGAGCTGGCAGATTTTACAGCGGCTCCGCCGTGTTCTCAGTGTAAAGACAGATGGGTGTCCCTGGTTATCCGGTAACCAGGGGCGCTGATCTGCATCTGCAAGTGGCCAGAGCCAGCTGTGAGATGACGGCTGGCTCCGCACAGCTGTCAGTAGCAGGCTGTCGAATAGCCAATGGCCAGCCATTCGGCCACCTTCGAATTTGCATATGCCTTCTGCTCGACTGAGCCCCTCGGCCAACTTCGGGAGCTTTACGGGCTATAGTGAATAGCCTGTACGGCAGCCCTTCAGTTCTGCTGAACCGAAGGGGTCCTGGGGCCGAAGCTAGATGAAGGATCAGCCGACGCTAAGGCTAGATCCTTCGGCAGCTTTGTGAATAACCCCCATAGTAAACAAGCTGGTGAGTATCCCCAGGTTATGTCATTCTCCAAATATGGTCAGAACCATATTTGATCAATAATGTCAGGCAGCATCACATTCAGTTGCCAGCCAGGAAGGTGCGAAAAAGAGCATGCTCATCGTATCCAGGTACTCATGTTTTTGTTGGCTGGTCACCCTTCATTATTTATTGATGGATCTACATTGCTGGACAATGTGATTGATGTTGGTTATACATCAGGGTACATTATTCGGGGGATTTTTAATTACTTTTTTTTCTAAGGTGTATGTGTATATTTACTTTTAAAAACTGGTATCTTTGTTAACAGATTCTGATTGAAACCCCCAAATCCCCACCCTGTAAACCTCCAAATCCTCTTATGTAGTGCGATAAGGACTCTGTCCCCATTAACATAGCAAGGTACCCTCCCCATGTTAAGAACATGCACCCTGGAATGCTTCAGGTGGGGGGGGGGCAAGCTTGCTTCCCATTCCTTCCCTGGCTAGCCTGGCTGCATGCCTGGAGAAGGGTCTGGTGTGACTTAATTTTTTACGTGGGGATTTTCCATAAAATCTAAACTAGACTCATAAAGGATAAGAGTCTAGTATTGATTTTGGGGAAACCCATGCCAGTTTTTTGCTAAACAAAGACCTGTTTAGCCAAACGAGAAATTTAATTTTAGTAGCAAATTGGATTTTTTAAAATCTAAATGTCACTTTTGCTGCAGTACAGTATATAGATGCACCAGATTGAAGCAATCTGATAAATTGAATTTGGGCAAGGGGCATGTATTGGTGATGGTATGAATGGGCATTAAATGGGAGTCCAGTATATTTCCCTTCATAAAGCCTTCTGGAGTTCACCACTCTATGTGAAAATAGTCACCTTTGCAGTCCTGGCAGGAAAATTTAGTACTATGGATTTCCTATAACGCTACCATTGTATGATTGCATCTATAGATTCCTTATGGATATCAATACTGCCAGCTTGACATACTGAGATTACCTTTAGTTTAACAGAAAGAAGAACCCTCCACAACCTCTAGGTAGTGTACCTTGGAGAACACACAACTATTTTTTTTGAATTAATGAATTCTGCAGTATGATCTCCAATAATAGTCTTTCTTGGAAAAACAATATACCAAAAGCCAAAGCTTTACAGACAGAAGGAACTGTGACCATTATGTTATCATGAAATCAATATAATATTGCTTTATGGCTGAAATGTATTAAACAAAAAAAATGCCCTAGAAAAATTAATGCAGTACAACATGCATAAGGCCAAATAGCCAAGGCATGCATGACATATGGAATACTTTCTTCTCCTCTTATTCTTAAATGTAACTACAAAACATAGATCAGAACATCTAAACCAACCAGGCCTATACTAACCAGCAAAATTTGACCACCACATACACATAATGAAAAATTAATTTCTGCATACAGAACACATCTTATGCCTATGTCTAGTTGCATAATCTCTGGCAAGTTTTGATAACAGAATTCAATAAATCTGACAATCTGGCCATACATGGATTGAATTTTAGTTGAATCATCTGAAATTTGGTCTGTGGGTGGACTTCCCAGCAGCACCTGGCTTGACAAAAGTCAATTTTTCAATTGACTTTTGTTGTAGGAGCCAGGTAGAAAATTGTAGTAGTCATTGTTTGGGTATTCCAACAGCTCCAGATGACAGCTGTCTGAATGCAGCTTGGTGAGGGGAATTGAATGCTTTTTCTAAGAGAAAAATGTAAAAATGACCAGATTAAGGGTTACTTGTGAGAGTATCTCTGTGTGCAATGTGATGACTTTAGGACACAAAAAAACAATTGCATACCCTGACCCTTTTTGGCTGGAGTGAGAAAAAGTGCAATATCTATGGGTATCTTTTGGGCAGTCCTGCTGAACAGGTCTGCGGGGAGAAAGGTATCAGACAAGTTTGGGAACCTGATCCAATCACAACTGTTTTCCTCAACACAAATCATCAGTTTCCTGCTGCATAACATAAACTGGAATGCTAGTGTTACCCAAGCTGCCCAGTTTTTTGTCTGCTGCTGGACTAAAAAACATTTGCAACTGGCAAGATCATGCCTTCACATCCAACTGTTCTTGAGAGTTCCTTGTTTGTGAACCACTTTAGAGAGCTGGCCCATTTTAGTGATATATTCTCTGTGGAAGTGTCAATAACAATTCTTCTTTGTTTGCAAAAATATGACACCTTTTATTATCTTTTTTTTTGAAAGCATGAACAATGTACATAGATGATTGTAGTTTACTGAAATTATAACAGGGTTATGTTATACAACAGTTATACTATAGAGATAAGAAGTTGGTAAACACGCTTTACACTTTTAACAAGAACATTTAAGACATTAACTTCTTACTCTCTGTGACCTGTCAGGAATCTCTTGGCCCAGAACCACCCTAGATCAACTGTTTGTTTTCTGTATAAAGGTCCCTGTAAAGGTGGCCATACACTGTACAACCATCGCAAGACCTTAGTCTTGCGATGGTTGTAAAGTGATTAAAAAAACGTACAATCTGCCCATCTTGGACAGGCAGATCGTACTCTCGATCATCGCAAGCCCGCCCCCTGAGGGGCGGGCTTCTGATGACCACAATGCTGAACGGGCAGTGTGCGCATGCGCACATCGGCCCGTTCGGCATTCGTCTCCCGAGCACCGTTCAAACCAGCCGAAAATCGTACGATTTTCGGCTGGTTTTCTAGCGTGCTCCTTAGACAAAAGACATGCGACCGTACAGTAGAAACAGTTGCACGTCTTCGTTCACACTGCTCGATTCTCGTACGATCGTGGGATTTCCCGCGATTCTCATACGAGAATCGAGCAGTGTATGGGCACCTTAAGACTATTCAAGTTCTTAGAACAGTTTTTTCCTTTTTTTCTGCAATCCAACTCCTTCTTGCACACCCATTGAAAGCACCTGGTTTTTGTAATGGAGCCAAGTCAGGTTAAGAAAGGTGAAGCAACTTCACATAGTTCCTAAACAGTGCACTGAGGCTAGTACATGTAAACTCTACTTGGATGATATTTAGTTTGCTAAAGCACAGTATCATAAACACTTGCCATTTTTTATAAAATACTTGATTTCACCTTTCTTGATCATTTGTTGCTTATCAACACTGTTGATCTCCTGCAACCTTTTTGTAGCCACTACCTTTCTACATACACGTGCTCCCAAATCTTCTACATTGCAATTCTAAGGTTGGATTTCCTCAGGTGACAACAGTGAACCATGCCTGTGCAATGTGTGGCTGCCAATAGTCTCCATTGAGTGTATGACAGGATGACAACCCAGAAGAACAGTTGGGAGATGGGGACAGAAGTACGTCACCCTATAACAAGAAGTACCTGAACAAAGATTTTGTTGTCAGAATTACCAGGTATTATTTTAATAAAAACTTCAGATTTAAAAATGTTACAAATTTATTTTGAAATTGCATTAACATATAAAAGCTTATGTGAGATTTTTATGATCAGCTTTACAAATACGTTATTTGGTTTAGATGCCATATCCTGAAACACAGCATTTTTAGGTTTCAACCTCCTAAAGAAAACATAGACGTTGACTACTAAAGGGGTTGAGAATTTTTACACACATAAATTGTGTAAATATTCCCTTTTCAAATCCTGTTAAAGGCAAATTCCTGTTTACTTATTTGATCTGCATATGATTAGCTATTCAAAGGAATTTGGTTTTCCAATGACTGGATAATTGAAGTGATTATTAACACAATTTATTGTAAATCAGACCAACAATGGTATGTGACCATACTCTGAAGTTAATGAAATGATGATGAGGGAGACTGTTTCTATAAAACAAAAAAAACAGAACCCAATACCATGGTTACCTTACTGTTATTGGTCAGTTTTTCCCAGGTAGAGCAAAAAAATAACCAAATTACAAAATATTTATCATTTATTTTATAGAACTCCATGTTGTCATTTACTACCTAAAACTGACTGTACCACAGTTTTCAAATCATGCATTTAAAAGGAAAAAAAGCAAATGCAATTACACATTTCAAATGTATAGAAAATAATAATTTCCAAATAAAAAAGAAAATATTCCTCATCAAAGGAAAAAATTGGTCAAAATCAAGAAAATTAGGGCACAGGAAAAAAAATATAAGATTCAGGAAAAAAAACATGCATCACATTGAGTGTGAATATAAAAAATACCTTCATCTTCACCACGATCATTATTGGCTATATCATCAGCTTGTTTCTTTGTGTTGGCTCCTAAAGGTTATAGTAAGAAGAATAAAAAAGGAAAAAAAGATAATTCACATACAGTACTCGGTTTAAAAAAGAATGGCAAAAAGTGTTTAAAAAACTTTGGGATACAAAATGTAACAACGTGTTACATTGTATGTAAAATTATTAAAATAAATAATGAATAAAAAAGATTGATGTGAAAAAATGTATTTTAATTACCAAGAAGAGAAGGTGAAATGATCATTTGCTATTTTAGCAGCTTAATATAAATGTTCTGTATAAAAAAAAACAAAGTATCTAAAAATGGCAAAGTTGTTTAAGAAAATATAGAACTTTATGAACAAAAGAAAAATGTTCACAAGAGTACATGATTCAAGGCACACTGTAAAAGTTGTCATAAAAAGATTCAGACACTTTAGCCAGCTGTATAGTGCATGTTCCATTTCTATAAAAAAAAATTAAGAAGAGGGAAAGTATAAGCAATCTAATTTTTTTCTCTACAGTGCAATTGGCAAAGAGAAACAAGTGCACCCCTTATAAATAAAGAGTCAATGCCTAAATCCAAAAGAAGAGATCCCATTCTTGGTATTTTATTCTTAAACATGTACAGAGAGCCAACACATTTTAGGCATCTGAATTTACAAGTGGTGCTGTTAATATCCATTGTTAAATCCATGAGAAGACTATGCGAGATCTGCAGTCTCATAGTTCAGAAGTGAGTAGACTAGTTGATTTGAGCTCATGAACTTTTCTTCTCTTATTTACACAGAATTGATTTCTTTAATTGTTATTGCACATTTTAGAAGTGCAATCTCCAAAGCAGTTCTTTTTTTTTTTTGAATGCTTTACTCTTTTTTTTAATCTACAATATAAGCAGAAAGTCAAACACACTCCATTAGTTAAAAAGAATCTGTCAGCAACCAAGCAGTGACTGGAAATACAGCAGTTTGCTAGAGCAATATGTTTCTGTGTTTATCAGGGCTGGTTCACACAATCTCCAGACCAGTGTGTTTTTTATCTGTACCAAATAAACATACACGTGAATTCCAATTGTTTTAAATGAGGTTAGTTCCAGAGCGTTTAAAAAACAAGTACAGCAGCATGCATTTTTTTCACAGTGGAATGGACAAAAATGCACCAGAACACACTGGAATGCACTTAAACTTATGCAAAATCAATTTAAAAAAAGCACCATAACACATAAAAAATGCGCATATGCAGGACCACATCCAGGAGATGGAGATGGTTTGAACAAGCCCTCAGTGCCTAGATTAATCACACCATGTACTAGAAAGCCAACCTTCAGTGCCACCATGTTTAAATACCTTATTGTCCAGGAACATAGAGGCAACACCTGTGACTGTATTCAGAAATCAGTATGTTGCTTTCTGCAAAAGTTTTTGCCAGTTAAATAAAAGGTGACCACTAGCAAATATTCAACTGGGTAAAATCAGTGGTTTGGGCATCTGTCTTCAAACATTAATCATTCTGGATCTTTTTGCAACCGTTTGGAGCAGATACTATAATAAAATGTGATTTATACTAAGAAGACTGTACTAGTCTAAAGATTAATATATGAAATAAGGCCAACTGACTGTTAAGTGATTGAGACAGCAGCACTTTGAAAGCAGAGGTGATCCTGTTGCACCTGTTGCTACTTGGTACTTGTTAGCATGCAAAAAAATATTTCTGCTACATATTCCTTGGTCTCAAAACAATGTAATCTTGCCTCAGATGTGACAGATATGCTTCACATTTTAACCTTGTTTTAAAGAGAAACTGTAATGGTTCTGGTTTAAGATTATTTTATGAACATTTTCAACTGTTTTATATTATTTCAACTATATTATATATAAAGTTAATTTAAAATAAAATTTGATGCAGAATTAAATTAAAAGTAAATCTGCACATATATTGTTATTTTAGTCCCCTTTTAAAGTTCCACACATACCTGTGGAGCCTGCCAGTAAAGTCCACTGAATGCAGCTTCCAGTGGTGGTAAGCCAATGAAACTGCACTAATCGTGAATTCAGAGCAGAGTTGCCACTATAATGTAGGCTTTGACCCCTGGCACTACAATGAGATGAAAAAATGTTGCGGGGGGTATGGCTATCAGCATCATTACCATTTCACATGCCTGTAGCTCAATCAGCACCTGGCCACACCAATTCCTGTCCACTACTTCCTGCTCTGGCAGCACTGCCTGAAACCCTCCTACTGTCAGCTGCAGTGTCTGGGAGTGGGAGCATGTAAAACACAACTGAAGGTGGATTAGGCTCAGTTAGGGAAGATAAAGGATGTTTTTGTTTATTTTATGAGGCTTGTGCACCACATAGTAACTAGATTAGGGACTTGTTTAGACTATTGTACAGGAACGTTTAGCTCCACTTTAATGTCACATTGGGCTATTGAGCTCTGTAAGCAGATCTTGTTACAAATTAGATAAAAAGATAAATGAAACATAGAAAAGGACCTGACCAAAAATATTTATTTATTTCTGTATTTATACCCTGAAAATATGCAAAAAAACAAATTCACATATCTTTGAAAGTCCATGTAGTTTTATTTACTCATTTTACTGTCATGGTAAGTTATAAATGCCTCCTGTTGTCTCCAAAGGAGAAGATCAATTTTTGTAGGCAATTTTTCAAATTAGCTCTGACCAAAAATATGCATTTGTTTTGTTTGTTTATTTATGATCTGAAAATATGCCCAAAAAATTCACATACCCTAGAAAGTACAAAAGTTTTACTAGTTACTATTTTTTGCTAGTTTAAATGTTATACGTTCCTTTTTTAATTAAAAAAATTTTGAAGTAAAATGTCGCTTTGGTTGATATATTGCATATGTGACTGCCACACAAGAAATTTTAAATTATATTAAACATTATATTTATTCAGACGCTTATTGGTTCACATTGTGTAACCCAATCAAATATGAACATAACAACATACTGAAAAGGTGATATTTGGGAACATAGTGAAAATATGAAATAACACTTTTAATTAATGATAACATTATTTGATCTCATAGAAAATACGCACACATCAAAGTAAACATCAAGTATTCACATGCAAAATCAATTATATGAGGAATTAAATCACATCCAATTGCTCAGAATAAATAAAATTTAACTTAATGAATGTTGTTAGTAGCAACAGCTTGTAAACAAAGTTCTAAACATAAAAAAATAATGACAGCCAGTGATGGGATGGGAAATCCTGCAAACAAATGTAACACAATGTTAATTGTTAGTAAATCACAGCTTGCAAACCAAAATAGCAAAACTAAACCAGAAGCCCAATGCAGTATTTTTAATATGCTTTGCATATACTGTATGCCTCACATCGTGCCTATATACAGAAAATAAAGATGCCATAAAGCCATCATACAAATGTTCATATAAGGAGCATAAAGAGTAGAACAGCCAATGATGGGATGAGAAATCCTGTGGATAAATGTAACAATGTCCGTTGTTAGTAGAAACAGCTTGTTAATCATGTGAGCAGAACTGAGCTTAAAGTCTATGCAGTATTTTTAATTTACTGTGCATATACTGTATGTATTACATCAGGCCCATATGCAAAGTACAAAGATGCCATAAAACGTTCATGCAAAAGTGCTAATTATAAAATAAATCAGATACCAATACAGTAGGATAAGAATTCCTGCAGATGAATAGATCCATTAATTGGACCAAACATAGGAATACTCAGACATTCATAAATAATCATATAAGGTAGGTCCCAAACCCATAAGTAACACTGGTGCTGGAGTGATCGCAGAGCAGCTTATTACTACATGTAGCAGAAAAATCTCTGCACACATAAGCTATGAAGGTGGCACTTAGGGCTTCATCTGTAAAACTCCTGCCCAATGTATAGCTATGCTGCTCAGCTCCATCAACTGGCCATAATGTGATATTACAATCAGAACATTCAAATGTAATTACACTTAAAAGAAGCATTTTCATTTGTGCATATTCACATGGGATGAGCTCTTACAGATATTTACAGGGTGAAGAGCCCTGCAAATTGTTTATAAATCAACACCTTGATGTTTACTTTAATACTTTTAATAGGGCCCTGGGATATTTATGTTTTTAATACATGCCTATTGTGTCTTTTCTAACAAATAAAGTTATCACTGATTGATTAAAAGTGATGTTTTATTTTTTCAATGCGTTTCCAGATCTCACCTTTTTCAGTATCTTGATATGGTATTAAAAATGACCTTGCTATTTAAATGTGCAGCCAACCATGATTTCGAAAAACTGCCAAAAATTCAAATTACACTTTCTTGTAAGCCACGGCAAGACTGGAGGTATTTTAAAGACTGTTTGTAATTTAAAAAAAAACTGCTTAGGAAATAATGCCATTAGCAGAATACCTTTTATACAAACTGGGACTGATCATGTGATTATAACAGGCAGAATAACCCAATGAGCACAAAGGAGGGAAGGTATGCATGTGTCAGTTGGCAAACACAAATACTGTACATATTACTCTCCAATAATGTTTGCTAAAATCCTGGCAAGTAAATATTTCTTTACAGATGCACATAAGTGTCCACAATACATTTTTGATTAAACTTAAAAAAAAAATAACAAACTGTCAACTCCTGTGGTCAGTAGATATACATTTGGCCTCTGAATTTCTGTTCGAAAAACCGCAAATAAATGCATATTTTTTTCTTTCCATAAACATTTGTATTCACTTGCAAGGTGCTCCTGAACTTGCTAAAGAATTTGACTATGCCAGAAAGTGTCACTTTTCTGGCACAGACCCCCTTCCTTCTTGTACATAGTAGCCATCTCCTCTTTTGGGAGAAATTACTTTCTAATTATTGTCTGTGCTGGCTCAGCTGCATTGCCCCTTTCTTATGTAAAATGAAGGGGAGGAGTCAACGGGAACACTATATAGTGTCAATTATGTGACAGCTCTGAGTCTGATGAGGCTGCTGACATCACATCCAAGATGGTGGTTCTCAGCAGAAGTCTGGGTTTTTAGATGTCTACACAAGGT